TCCTTCTCCAGCAAACCATCTGGTGGATTTGAACTATATATCTCTGGGATTTTAGTGCAGCTTCTTGCCACTAGGCCACCAGAGCTCCCATGAATGATGTTCTTGATATCATCCCACAGCTAATCTGGTCTTCATTCATTAATGCTAAAGGCCTCAAACCTGTTCCTGGAGGATAGAGTTGAGGTCAAACTTTGGTTCTTGTGGTTTTTTCTTTAACTTTAGTTTGAACTTGTATATGAGCAGTTGATGGTCTGTTCCATCATTAGCACCTAGCCTAGGTTTCACCCCTGATATTGATCTTCTCCAGTGATTTCTGCTACAGATATAGTCAATCTGATGCCTATATAGACCATCAGGTGAAGTCGATGTGTATAGTTAAATGTTTGTTTCTTATCAAAGGTGTTTGCAATGAATAGGTACAGAATTCACTCATTCTGTCCCCAGCCTCATTTCTGGCAAGTCTATGCTTTCTGATTATACTGATCCTTCTTCTTTCCAACTTTTGCATTCCAATCACCCATTATTATAAAAGTATCTTGGTTTCTTACTTGATCAATTTCTGGTTTGGTGAGTTCTCGTTTGTAGAAGTCATCTATTTCGTGCTCTTTGGCCCTGATTATTGGCGCATATATTTGAATGATAGTGGTATTAACTAATAGCTCTTTCTAGTATATGTATGGATATTATCCTGTCACTCACAATATTAAATTTCAAGATAGATGTACAAATGGTCTTTTTAACTATGAAAGCAACTCCATTTTTCCTTACCTTTTCATTTCCAATGTAGTAGATCATATGATTATGTGATTCAAAATGTCCCATGCCTACCTATTTCATTAATGTCTAGTATGCCAATATTTATGTGTTTCATTTCTTCATTAACAATTTCTAGTTTCCCTACATTCATTCTTCTCATATTCCACTTTCCAATCAGTAGTGTCTGTTTGCAACGGTTTCTCCTCCTTTTGGCTTCAATATGGATTTAGCGCAACATCAAGAAAACAGTCTCTCACTGGGCCAATTGCCAGCTTCATGATAGAGATTGTGATTGTTAATAACTTCCGCTTGCTTAGCTCCACAATCAACACTCTTTGCATCAGCAGCCAGGAAATCAAAAAAGATGAATTGCATTGGGAAAGTCGGCTGTCAGGGCCCTCTTTAGACTACTGAAGAGCAATGATGTCAGTCTGGAGGCTAAGATGTGCCTGATGCAGGCCATGGTCTTTACAATTACCTGCTTTGCATTAGAGCTGGAGAATAATGATGACAGAAGGATCGATGCCTTTGAGTAGTGGTGCTGGAGAAGAGTCTTGTACATACTGTGGACTTCTAGCAGAACAAACAGGTCTCTCCTGGAGAGAGTGAAACCAAGCTGTTCCCTGGAGGCAAGGATTTTGAAGCTTCATCTCATATGCTTTGGGCACATGTCCAGGAGGGACCAGTTCTTGGAGAAAGGCATCATGCTCAGGAGGGCGGAGGAACAGCACAGGAGAGGAAGACCCAGGATGAGATGGGTTGACTCACTAATTGGAGAAATGGGATTAGATCTGTTGGAGATGGTGAGATTGGTTCAGAATAGGGCAAGCTTCAAGAGCTAATGTACAAGAGTCTCTACGAATGGCGATGACACATAGCAACAATATTTTGTAAACTAATATTATGTCCTTTTAATATGGTCCTACCCATTTATTTTCTTGACTTTGTTTTAGAGTTAATTTCTTTTGCATCACCTAATACAAGGTTCCATACTCATTAACAACCATGAAACAGCCCTCTATCCACTTATTCACTTGTTTATAGAGCCACACCTGAGTCGGGAATCTATTTTGCAAGTATCTGAAGACGAGGTTGGTGGGCTGCATTTTCTGGCCCTGGCGCACAGTATGCCGTGGTGGAAGATAACGAAGACCACGAGCAAAAAGCCTTTTAAGAATGATTTGTATACAACCTAAGCGGTTGTCGGTGCTGGCATATTGTATCAAACAGCTGTTAATTTCGGTTTCTTTTTTCAGTGGCAGGGGTTAAGAGGTTTTTGCATTTCCAGTTTCTACCGCAATAGGGGTGGTGGTTGTTTGCAAAAGGGGTGGGGGTGTAAATATGCGAAATACAAAAATTGCACAACAGTTGAAGATAATTCCGAAGTGTCCCGTAAACTAGGCGACCGGCAGGCAGGGCCGCCCAACCTCCTGTGAGTGAAATCGTGGCTGAAGCCTTGCCAATCTTACTGCCCACCACCATCTCTTAACGGAGAATCTGACCCCACAACTCGACCTCGCCGACGTTAAGACCCTCTTGCCCCTCCCTAATTGGCAAAAATGGTGGGGCCTGGCTGCGTGCGTGTGCGTGCGTGCGCGTGCATGCGTGCGCGTGCGCAAGTGCCCGGATGGGCTGCTGCTTCCGGCGCGCTTGCCTTGGGCGGTAGGAGGCGCGCATGGGGTGGGGGGGAATTCTCCTCAAGGCGGGTTCCTATCGGGGCCTGTGCGGCCTTTTGTAGCTGAAACGGGGATGGCGCAAAAAAGGCAAACCTGAGGGGCAACCCCAACCACTTAGTGTGAGGTCCTGCCGCTTTCGCAGTCAGGATCCTTTTTCGGCCCTAGAGCGTGCAAACGCCCCTGCGGCGTGGACCCCTCGAGTGGAATGGTCGCCGAGGCCCAAGACGTTGCACTTCTGCGTGCTCTGTGAAAGGAACTGGGGACCCTCGACGGATCCCCAGCCCTTCTCGCTCCAGGCACCATCCTGCATGGTGAGGAGACAGCACCGGCCCGGAAGCGCACGGTCAGTCTTATGTCTGCTTTGTGATCGAAGTTTCCTTGCGCGGTGCGGTCTGCGCAGCGCGCCGCAGTCTTTGTTATTTGTTGTAGGGTCGTAGGGCACGTGGCTGAAGGTTTTTGGGGTTTTTATTTGGAAGGAAGCCTGGTAGTCACCGAGGGAGAAGAGGGCGTGGTTTCGGACCCAGGTTCTGGGCAGGGTGAGGGCGGGGCGAGGGGGGTCTCCGGGGACTCCAGGCTAAAGGTCACGGCGCTGCGAGCCTGCAGTGGGGCTGCGGTCCCCTCCGGGCAGGGGGTCTGAATGACGGCAGGTGCCTGCCCTGCAGTCTGTCCCGTACCGCCGCCTCTGGGCGAAACCAGGCCTGTTGGATAGCAGGTTGACTCAGCTTTTCCTCTTGGGCTGATCAAGTTCGGACACGTTCCGAGTCTGCAGTCAGCGGAGCTAAGCCCGGACTTGTCTCCAGCTGGGGCTATTTAAAAGCCATGCCCTTTCCCAGTTCTAGTTATTTCGTGACCACAGTCCCGTTCGCGCTTGCACTGATCCAGGCAAATGTGCAATACCGGAATGTCTGTGCCCGCTGCCGATGATGCTGTTCCAAGTACCTCCCAGATTCCTGCTTCAGAACAAGAGACCCTGGTTGGTATTTTTGTCTCCAGTGCAACTTTTTAGGAAATTCTATTTTGTTACAGACCCAAGTTATAACACAGTGCGTTAAGGACATTTTAAGCACAAAGCTCACATTCTCTTTTCAGGCCTGTGTCCTGTAAAAGTTACCTTGAAGAACTAGTCCATATTTTGTTAACATTTTACTCAGCAGGCTTTAGAAAGAAATTTCTTTACATTCTTTTTTTAAATTAAATTTTATTGTTTTTTGTGTGTATCTGGGCTTCATCTGACATACTTTGGACATGTAAGGAGAGACAGACAGGTCCTTGGAGAGGGACATCATTCTTGGTAGGGTGGAGGGACAGCACAGGAGGGGAAGGCCCTCTATGAGATGGATTGATTCAGTGACTGGGGTAATCAGGCTGGGTGTGTCAGAGGCAGTGCGATTGGCACAGGATAGAGCAGGGTTTAGGGCTGTTGTAGTCATGGTCGCCATGAGTTGCAAACGACTGACTGGCACATAAACAGCAATAGCAAACCGTCAAATTGGATCTGACTGGTACAGGAGGAGATTGTCCCTCCTCCAGTAGAGCATCTGGTGGATTCGAACCGTGATCCTCTGGGATACATTCTTTACATAGACGTTGAAGTTAAGCTTATTTATATGACTGCTTTCTTGCCCAGTTCCCAATTTCAACTGTCATAATTTTTAGGCCTTCTAGAAATATGAAGTAAAACCTGAAAATTCCTGCTTTCTCTTTTGTATTTCAAATCTGGAGTGTTTAAATCGTAATTGTTTTGTTAAAACAAGAATAAACTAGCAGTGTTCTGAAATTTGTTTTTTTCATTTACTGTTAGAATACAGCGCAAGGAGCACTGGTTGTGTAGTGTGTTGTGAGCTGAGCTGAGCTGCTTATGATAAGATTGGCAGTTGAGATCCACCAGCTGCTGAGTTCTCCCTCAGTTCACTAGCAGATAAATCTGTCCCTCAGGCTCTCTTCACGTTTAGATATACAGCCTCAGAAACTGAGTTTTGGCTTGAGTAATATATGGAACTCCATATGTTCCTAAAGTCTGCAAAGCATACTGGTTTCCTTTCAGTAAAAACTGTAAGACCCATGGCCTCTTAGCTCCTTGTCAAAGGGACTGTTAATGTTCTTTCCTTTCATAAAAAACCCTGCTGCATTCTTTTTACCCTGCTGCATTCTTTTTAATAGCTGCATGGTACTCCCTAATGTGGGTGTACCATTTACTTAGGCCTTATTGGTAGGTTTTTTCCCCCCATTATGTCTAGTTTTTTGGTATTAAATACAGTGACTTTGTATATGTGTATAAATGCTAACTCGAGTGTTAAGTGTTGTTATTTCTATAAGAAAGACTTAATAGAAAGAGAACTCTGAGGTGTTAAGGATATATATATAGCCTTTATTCATGTTATGTGCTGTCTGGTAGGAACCAACTCATAGCTGACCCTCCACAGGTTTTCAGAGGCAGTAAACTGCAGGGGAGGAGATTGTTCATCAGTAGGCAGGGCAGCTGGTGAATTTGAATGGCTGTTGATAGGCCTTTGGGATTGTGGTGCAGCTTCTTAGCACTAGACCACCAGAACTCCTAAATCTTTTAGTATATCCTTTAATTTTTCACTCCATAATTTATTATTTTTTTTTAGCCAGAGAACGGTAAAAAGATATTGTTTATTTATATTCCTTAATTTTTGGTGGGGCTTGACATTTCTGTTTCTTACAGGATTTGCTTGGTTTATTTATCTGTGTCTTTTAGACTTCTTTTTAAAAGCAGAAGTCATTTATTGAGTGATAATTTGAACTATAGTATAAAGGAAACAGGCAGTTACACAGTGCTCTTTGTAGTTTTCTTAGCAATTTGTAGTAGTTTTTTGGTATGTCAGGTGCACTTAGCTTTTGTTTGTTACTAATGTTTCATTTAAATTTTTTTCTTTTAGCTTTTTTTTTTTTTTATGCGTGTACCGTCAAATTGGATCTGACTGGTACAGGAGGCGACTGTTCCTCCTTCTTCAGCAGAGCATCTGGTGGATTTGAACCGTGCACTTCTGGGATTGCAGTGCAGTTTCCTGCCACTAGGCCACCAGAGCTCGCCTTCCTTTTGCTTTTGAGAAACTGAATTTTTGTGAAGTCAAATTTTCTGATATCTTTTGAATTTTATCTTTTCATAGTCCTTTCTAATTCCAGTGCTATATAAAAACAGTCCAATGTTTTCTACTAGTATTTTTATATTTTATATCTAGATTACAAAAAATGAACTTTATCATTTTGTTCTTAAACATAACTTTAAGGATGGAATGTCTTTTGTTATAATGTTCTTGTTTATATATAGGTCTTCACAGGTGTTGGGTGTGCCATGTACCATTGAGTCAGCTTTTACTTGTAGTGCCCTTCTGTGACAGAATAGAGCTGCCCTGTTGCTTTTCCTACACTGTAATCTTTATAGGAGCAGACTGCAAGGTCTTTTCTCTGTGGAGAAGCTGTTGAATTTAAACCATTGGCCTTTTGTTTGGCATTTATTTAGGCATTGCGTCAGTGGAGCTCTTTGCATATGTTTTCAGTCTCAATATAAGACTAATGACTTTGCACTATACATTTCTATTTTGAAGTTACTTTATGCAGCTTGTAATATATATAAAGTTAGAAGAAATAAAAGTTTTGTTGTTTATGTAAAATTCATTCTTTACCTAACCTGAAAAATAAATGTACGTATAAAAGCACATAGCAAAAAAAAAAAAAAATGACCAAGTAATTAGTGATTTAACCTTACATTTATTAAATATTTTAAGTTTTTTAGTGATTAAATACTATTTGTTCTGTTGATCACCCGAAAGGAAGCAGTGCTCTTATATTTGATTTTGGGAGGTAGATTCTAAGCTGGGATTTTATCAGAATGCAAGATCAGACAAAGGACAGAACATATTGAAGAGTATGAGGTGATTTATGTGGGAGTAGAATGCTTTAAAGATCCTTGAGTTTTGCAGATTTTTAAGGTAAAAGCATGCAAGGAGGGAGTTTAGGCACCTAACCCTTTCTGTGGGCCATCCTTTTTTTCTGTTTGTAAATTTTTCATTTGAGTAAAGGTTTACAAATCATTCATCATATAATCATTCAGATGTTTACATTTTAGCCTGAGTTATTAATTAATTACAATATTTGATTAGCTTCTTGTGTATTTGTTTATTTTCCCAATACAACTTTTAGAGCGTTTCGAGCAAGATCGGGCAGATGAGTAGTTTTGTAATAATAGATTTGGCTCATTACCTGTTTTTGCGATAAAATTTAACTGTAATTCAGCAGCACCCATTAGTTTACATTTTGTCTATACTTGGCAATATAGTAACAATTGAGTAATTGTCTACAAAGCTTAAAATATTGTCAGCTGGCCCATAATAGGAAAAGTTTATTGACTTCTGGTCTGGTTTGTAGTTATGAGTACAAGTTGTCTTTTTTCCCCCCTCCCTTAATACTTAATAATGTCTAGTGCATATAGAAGCTCAGTAGCTTCACTTGTCAAGTAGGTATTTAAAGTGTAGAGCACCTGGAAGGAATATGGTAAGAAATAAATGCTGGGCTCCATTTGGGTTAGTTATTTAAGGTCTCTGGGGAGCTCTGGTGGCTTAGTGCTTAAGAAATTAAGGTGCCAGCACAAAATGGTTTTAATCCATCTGCTCTGCTGGAGAAAGAAGGGTACTCTCCTCTCATGCAAATCCCTGCCTCTGAAAACCTGTTGGTAGGTCAGCTACAGATTGGTTCTGACTTAGTGGTACACAACAGCAGTCTTGAGAAGAGAATGCTGGTAGTCTAGTCCATAGAATTGCACCGCTAAACTAAAATAGGCAGCTCTTTGAGGTTAAAAGCTACAGGAGATAGATAGGCAGTCTCCTGTGCAATTTACAGCCTCAGAAAACCTGGAGGATCAGCTATGAGTTGGTTCAAACTCCATGGTAATGAGTGTTTGAAATTTGAATCTCGAGTAGTGCTGAAGGATCAGTAGTAGCTGGAGGCATAGTCTGTAGAGAGTTATGCTGCTAATCCAAAGGCTGTGACTCTTCAGAGGTGTGAATGCATCAGAGATTCAAAGGGAAAATAATGAGCAATCGCTCGTGCAAGTAAAGCCTTTAAAACCCACCGGAGAGTCAGCTGTGAGTGGAAACTGACTCAGTGGATGTGAGAGAATCTTCCTGAACCTTATCTGTAGAAAGAGAACATTGGTAAAAGCTATTTTAAAAGTTTATACTCTTGGGTTCTATAACAGTTTAAGCTCAGTTGAGTTTTCCATTTATACTTTGTAAGCCAGTAATAGGATTGCATTAGTGCAGGCAAAGAATAATGGTCATTATCTTGAGGTGTGGGTATTGTTTTTGATAGCAATTAAGATACTGTAACCTATGATATTAAAATCCTTCCCAATTTCCCCCAAAATACCTTTGAGAGCTTACAAATTATAGTTTCTATTGGTTAGAGATCTTTATTTGTTTCTATTTCAAAGAAAGGTGATCCAACAGATTGTGGAAATTATTGAACAATATCATTAATATCACGTGCAAGCAAGATTCTGCTGAATATTATCCAAAAATGACTGGAACAGCACATCAACAAAGAAATGCCAGAAGTGCAGGCTAGGTTTAGACAGGGTCATATTATAGCTAATGTTAGATGGATCTTGGCTGAAAGCAGGGAGTACCAGAGGAATGTCTGTGTTTCATTGACTGTGCAAAGGAGTTTGACTCTGTGTATCACAACAAACTGTGGCTAACTCTTGAGAAGAATGGGAATCTGAGAACACTTGATCATGTTTATGTAAAACCTATACAAGGAGGCAGTTGTCAGAACAGAGCAAAGGAACATTGCATGGTTCAAAATTGGGAAGGGTATGCATCAAGGATGTGTCTTGCCTCCATATCTTTTCAGTCTATATGCAGAACAGAGTATCCGTGAGGCTAGGCTCTTGGAGGAGAAATGTGGCATCAGGATTGGATGTAGATTCATCAACAATCTGTGTTATGCAGATGACGAAACCCTGCTTGCTGAAACTGAGGAGGACCTGAAGCGCTTGCTGCAGAAGATCAAGGACTGCAGCCTTCAATATGGATCAAAGCTCAGTATCAAGAAAACAATGATTCTTATCACTGGGCCAATTGGCAGCATGGTAATGGATGGTGAAGAGATTGAGATTGTAAATAGCTTTAGTTTGCTTGGCTCCACAATCAACACTCTTTGCACCAGCAGCCAAGAAATTAAAAGACATACTGTGTTGGGAAAGTCTGCTGTCAGAGACTACTCCAAAGTATGGAGGAGCAGTGATGTCATTTTGGAGACTAAGGTGCGCCTGATCCAGGCTATGGTCTTTGCAATCACTTGCTATGCATCAGAACTGGGCAATACATAGGGATGATTAAAGGAGAATTGATGCCTTTGAGCCATGGTGTTGGAGAAGAGTATTGAATATACCATGGACTGCTAAGAGAGTAAACAGGTTTGTCCTGAAGAGGGTAAAACCAAGCTGCTATTTGGAGGCATGGGTTCTGAAGCTTCGTCTGACATATTTTGGACATGTTGCAAGGTGGGACCAGTCCTCCTTGTAGAGGGACGTCATGCTTCGGAGGGTGGAGGGACAGCGCAGAAGAGGAAGACCTTCAATGAGATGGATTGATTCAGTGACTGAGGCAATGGGGATAGATGTGTCAAGAGATGATAAAATAGAGCAGGCTTTAGAGCTGTTGTACATAGGGTTGCTATAAGTCACAGGTGACTCGACAGCACATAACAACAGTACATTTTTTCAAAACAGTATTTTTGAGCTTCTTCCTTGTAAGAATGTTAAGCATACTATCTGCTGTACTTTAACTGCATTTTTAAGGTGTATGTTTGCTGAAGTTTATAGTCTGTCTGGACCAAGTTTTTAAGTTTAATAGGAACTCTTTGTTCTTCATAGGTTAGACCAAAACCATTGCTTTTGAAGTTGTTAAAATCTGTTGGTGCACAAAAAGACACCTATACTATGAAAGAGGTAAGCTGAATCTAGAAATAAATCGCTAATGTTTAACTATTCTTTCTTTCTCCTTTTTATAATTATTACTTTATACTGGCTTAAAAGTTTATAAAGTTCGTATACATTACTATTCTAGATAGCCATACTTAAGAGTTTACAATACCTTGGATACAATTAACCATATAGAATGATTTTCAGTTAGCAGCAGTGTAAAGTACATGAATTGAAATCAACTTGATGACAATGGGTTTAGGGTTTTTTGTTGTTTTGTTTATGGTAATTTAAACTATAAATTAAACTTGAGCCTCATTTCTCAACTAGAAATGGAATCAGATTCTGCAAAAAAAAAAAAAAACAAATGGAAGAAAAGATTCTTAACCTTTTTTTTATGGATCAGTTTGTCAAACTGGTAAATGATTTTTCTTAAAATTGTGTTTTTCGAGGAGCTCTGGTGGCCTAGTGGCAAGGAGCTGCAACTACAGTCCCAGAGGCACACGGTTTGAATCCACCAGATGCTCTGCCGGGAAAAGGAGGGACAGTCTCCTCCTGTACCAGTCAGATCTGATTTGACGGTACACCCACACACACACACACACACACAAAATCGTGTTTTTCAGTGCATGAAAAAGAGTACATAGGACTTCAAAGGAAATTGTTTAAATTAAGATATTGTTTACTATTAAGGTATTAAACAAGTTTGTGATCTAGCAACAGATCTAATATAATTGAAGTAGTGAAGAGTATGAATGATACTGTTAAATATTTGTAAGAAGCATAATGCATAAAATGAGACTAATACTGCTAATATTATTGTGGTTCATTTCCTACGTTCATACAAGTGATGGGAAAGCTAAATTTCCAGCCAGTGGAAATAAGGATAAAAACTTTTTTTTAAAAAAAAAAAGCCCAAAACATTTTTTTCCCTATTCTAAATTACTGAACTCTTTCCATGACACTCCTGGGAGTCCATTCATTCCAGGGAACAACCTCTGAAAAAAGATGCATAAATAGAGAATAACAGTCTTTCTGGGGTAGAGGTAAACTAATTCCTCTATTTACATGAACACAGCATTTAAATATATTATTATCAGACTTGAAATTTGTGGACAAAACATGATTTTCAGACAGAGTGTGGGCTCGCTTACGCATTGTGTTGGCACAAGAGGTATGTTACCTGTTTGCATTTGTTGCAGAGTTTTGGGAATAAGGTTACTTAGAACACTGAAGTGTTTCAACTATATCAGGCTAATAGTAGGGCTGGGAAAAATCTCAGGTCCTTTTATTTTTGCTGTTGTGAGCCATCGAGTTGACTACAACTTGAAGCCTCTTCATGAGTAGGAAGACTCTAGCACTTCTTTATATCTTTTCTACTGCTGACTGACCATCTCTTTGATCCATTGTCATATAGGAATAATCCTAAGTGAAATATGCTTGATTAAACAAATATGTAATGCTTGTAGCACCTTGCACATTTCATTGTAATATTTTGCTTTGTCATCCCGTGCTGCCTTTTGGAATCTTCTGTTCAGCTCTTTAGTATCTTGACTTTGGCTTCTCTGCGCACCAGTGCAATCTTCGGAGTTTCTTCTGACATCAATTTTGGTCTTTTCTTCCTCTTCTGTCTTTGTAATGACCATTTGCACTCTTCCTGGATGATACATTTGACATCCTCCCACAACTCATCTGGTCTTTGCTCATTAGTGTTCAAGGCCTCAATCCTGTTCCTCACATGATTCTGAAATTCAGGTGA